GGTCATTCATTATTGTTCTTCAATTCTTCCATAGCCATGTTCTTGTTTCTGAATTTGTAATAATCGAATTTAAATCATATTAATCTGTACTGGTTTTTCGCCCTTTGAAAACAAATCAAGACCAGATTTTTTTGGGCAGATGATATTCGATTTTACGAATTATTTAGTTTCTATTTTGTATTTAACTTCTTGAATACTAGCTCCTGTTTTCATTAAGCATCATTTTGATTAATTCAACCTAATATTTATTCAATCAAACGCTTTAAATTGTTCACAGTAATTAATTTCTTGAATCTGGATTTTCTTATTTGATTCTATTAATTAGGTTATCATCATGGTGGTGATCTAAATGTTGTCATTTACGGTTATTCTAATAGAAAATTTATGGGCAATGAGTGTTCTTAATTAAGCATATTAGAAGCTTTGATCTTTTTTTACTGAATCTATTTGTTTCATTGGCTTGATTATATCTAATTATAGGAATGTCAGAGTCTAGGTTTTGAGGAGATACACCATTATATCTGATTCTTGATTGTTGAATCTGAGAGCCATGTCATGGTTAAGAGGTAGTTTCAGCATTACAAAACAAACAATCAAGAGAACTCTTTATTCTCAAGTTAGATCATCAAATTATCTGACAAGGACAACAAGAGTCCTATCACAGATCAGAATCTTTCACACCACAGTTTCCACATTGTCGTCATCATCCAGAACGGATCCTCCTCCTCCAGTGCCTCACTCCATCCTGCTTTCCTGACTCACTGACAGTTTCTTAGACGGTACAAGCAGTGTATACTTAAAAGAGCTTCAAAGAGCCTGGGAAGAAGATCCAAACAGTGTAGATGAATCATGGGACAATTTCTTTAGAAACTTTGTGGGACAAGCTCCAACTTCATCTGGCATTTCTGGGAAAACAATTCAAGAAAGCATTCGTTTGTTATTACTTGTAAGAGCATGTCAAGTTGTTGGCCACATGATAGCCAATACAGACCCATTTAGTTTAGACAAGCCAGATCTTCCAAGTGAACTGCACCCTTCCATTTATGTCTTAACTGAATCAGACCTAGACAGAGAATTGTTCCTTAGTGTCTTGGAAATGTCTGGATTCATGTTTGAGAATCGTCCAGTTCAAACCCTAAGAGCCATCTTGACAAGACTTGAACTAGCATATTATGGAAGCATAGGGTATGAATACATGCATGTATCAAATAGAGAGAAATGTAACTGGATCAGAGACAAGATCAAGACTTCGTCAGTAGCACAATTCAATCGCAAGCGTCAAGAGGTTATTCTCAATAGACTTGCATGGAGCACACTTTTTGAGAACTTCCTGGCCACAAAGTGGACATTAGCAAAGAGGTTTGGGCTTGAAGGAGGAGAAACCCTAATCCCAGGCATGAAGGAGATGTTCGAATGAGCCACCGATCTTGGCGTCGAGAATATCACGATTGGAATGGCACACAGAGCAAGATTAAACGTTCTGGGAGCATATTTCGTAAGCTAATCCGTCAAATATTCAGTGAATTTAGTGGTGGACAACCAAAGGATGAAGTAGAGTGTTACACAGGAACTGGTGATGTGAAATACCACTTAGGAACATCTTATGATCGTCTAACAAGAGGTGGAAAGAGGATTCATTTATCATTAGCCGCAAACCCTAGCCACTTAGAATTAGTGAATCCAACGGTTTTGGAAAAAACAAGAACGAAACAGTACTTTTCAAATGATTTAGACAGAAGCAAGAACATGGGGATTCTGATTCATGGTGATGGAAGTTTTGCAGGATAAGGTGTTGTGTATGAGACATTTCATCTCAGTGCACTTTCGAATTACATAACAGGTGGGACTATACATGTTGTGTTTAACAATCAGGTCACGTTTACGATGAATCCTAGCTATGGAAGATCTTCAAAGTGTTGTACTAATGTGGCCAAAGCTTTAGATGCTCCGATCTTTTATGTGAATGGTGATGACATGGAAACAGTTGTGCATGTATGTGAGCTTGCAGCTGAGTGGCATCAAACTTTTCATTATGATGTGGTTGTTGATTTAGTGTGCTACGGAAGATTTGGCCACAGTGAAATTGATGAACTATCTTTCAGTCAGCCTAAAATGTACAAAGGTTAGGCCATACAAACGCACAAAGACATTTATAAATGTATTTTATCATGAAAGATCATGTTCAACTGTTTGATTCTTAGAAGTACAGAAATTTTGATTTACAGGTGATCCAAAGCCATCCATAATCTCTTAAGATATATAAGAAGAACCTTTTGAAATTAGGGGAGGTGACATAACAAAATGTTGACAATATACATCAGAAGGTCACTTCAATCCTAAATGAAGAATTTTTGGCTAGTAAGGATCATCTTTCTAAAAGAACAGACTCGCTTTCATCTCATTGGTCTGGTTTCAAGTCTCTAGGCCATTTTTAACAAAGTACTTTCTTTGTTAAAAAATATAAGACATTTTTAATTAAATTTCACTTCCAATAAAATAGTTACCTATTTTTAAACTAATCCTATCTTTTTATATTTACCCATATTACAATAAATATAAAGTCATTCATCAATAGGGATATTTTTGAAAAAAAAAATAATGATTATATTTCAAAAGATTAAATGTTAGCAAAGGGAGTATTTCAATATATATATATATATATATATATCTTGATTATCCTTAAATTTATATATATACACATATATACTGATATGAATTTATACACACGCACACACATAATAGGCATGACGTAGAAACTAATCAACATGTTTATTGACTACTCTCAAAGCATGATTAAAAGTAATATCATTTAGTCAAGGCTTGATTAACTATAATATCTTCAATTAATAATGTTCATGAGTAGACAATTTAATCAATAATTTCTTAAATAAGATTCAGAGCTTTGGTGAATTACTATTGTGGACATTAACTTTACATTTTATTTAAGGGTTAAATGATAAATTTGTTCTCAAATTATAACTCTTGAAGCGTCTAAAATTTTAAACTTATTTTTTGTACAATATTTTCTTTCCAAATTTCAAAATGATGCAATATAATTTTTTCCCTTAACAAATATTAACTTCAATTGTTAACTGATAGAAAATGTATTAAAAAATATCTCAAAATTTTTTATCTTTGTTTGTTATTTTTGTCTCTTTTTGTAATGCTTGAGACCTTTTTTCATAATTTTCTGATCAATTTACAATCGAACTTACCTTTTTTTTAACAATAAAGATGATATTACACCACTTTCAAAAATTGATAAAAATATTACATCAAAAATAAATTGAAGGTCCCAAATACTTCTAGATATAAAATAATTATCCTTTAACCCTTTATTTAAAATCCACTTAACAAGACTAGAATAATAACGACAACGTCAAACAATTTTATTTCACTAGATGTAGTAAGCTACTTGAATTAAGTAGCATCATTGCACACTGAAAAACACGATAATCCAAGTCTAAAATCACATTGGATAAAAGATTAAACCCCACTTCCGACCACAATTTCTTTAAGTCACAACCAAAAAACCTCAACTATTTAAAGTGGAAAGAAGAGTTTCAATAATGTTGAATGAAATAAATTATTGACAATTCTACAAAACCATAAGCCAAATAATTGTGTGTATCACCACATTTAGTGATAAATGAGTATGCGCTTTGCTCCCTTTCCACTAAAAATGAAATTGAAAAATTATGTCTTATACAAGAATGCAGTGTGTGAAAATATTTGAGTTCCTATTTCTCTCTCACACAAAATTGAAATTAACTAAGACAATTGTTGGTATTTTTTTTTTTTCAAAAAAAGAGTCTTGTTTCATATGATAAAAGAATTTTTGACAAAATTAAAATCTAAATCGAAATCAAAATAAAATAAAATTTTAAATGTGAACTTGATATCAAGATAAAATCCTAATATAATTTTAGCAAATATATTTACTTAAAATAAGGAGAAAAACCAAAAGTACCATTTTTAAAATATAAAAAAAAAAAAACCACCCTCATCTATCAAACCTAGCAACTCCATCATCAACGATCCACCTACTACACCGCCTATAGCAACAACCCCAACATCATCTCCTAAATCAACATCACCTTCAAGGGCTATGGCGACACCAACTCCAACAACCAAACTGTCTTCTTCGACAGCCCGACCGCCATGAATCTCTGTTCCAAGTGCTATAAGGATTTCAATTTGAAGGAGAAACAAGTAGTCTCCGCCAAATCCACCATCAAAACAACCCTCTCCCCTGCTTCTCTACTATCCTCTGGGCCATCTCTATTACCAATTGTGGTCTCCCCCGCTTCTACTCAGACATTGAAATTGTCAGTAGTTGCAGTGGGGCATCAAGCTCTGCCATTACATCCTTTAAGCCATTGGTGGTAGTCGTTGTCTGACGCTATGATTGCTGGGGGTGGATGACAGTGGCCTGTGGGTGGGGAATGATAATGGGTAAGGGAGATGATGATGGGGGTAGAATTGGGGATAGAAAATAATTTCATAAAATACAACCAATTCCATAACTATCTTGATAGGAATCTTATTCTGGCTTTTTTCCTTGAACCAAGATTTTTAGGAATTGTGATTAAAGTATACCAAACATGTTTGAATGTGCTCATTTCTCATACTCTATAAACATATTCACAACACATTGAGTGCATAAAAAGATATACCATCCACAAGTTAACAACAAATCTAATGGATTTCTATCCATAAAATAAATTATTATAATGGATTTCTAAAACCTCATGACACAAAAGAAAATGTCTAATTGAATAAATGAGTGTTTATAACTGAAAAAGCGTACCAGCAAGTGTCAGCCAATTGTTAACCAAAACTACCAAAAAGGCACAACCACAACCACACCCCCACCCCCACCCCCACTCTGAATCATTTTAAATGTCAAGTGAAATAGAATTCCAATTAGAACACAATGATTGTCCCTTCGGCATACCATTTTTGTTAAAAATAGAATATCATAATTATGGAAGAGTTAATTGAAAGTTTCAGAACTCATCTAAAAATATAAACTAATTCAGGAAAATTATATGAAGTAATGTGGTTGGTTTGCACTATGCACCTAGGAAAAGCAACAAGAGATCTACAGAATGGAAGGCAATATTGGAACAAAACCCTTAAAGATCAGCATTACCATGGATCGAAAGTAAAATCCTACAAGAATGGATCAGCTTAAACTTGATATTTTTCATGTAGATGTAGTGCATTATGGACAGATTACATGACTACCATTGCTCTTTAACTTTTGAGAAGCAGAAAACCAAATTCAAGCTGGGATGACTACTTCATCTTTTCCATATATACGCTGAAGCTCCCTGGTAGCAGCTTGGTACGATGCTAATAAGTAAAAGCAATGTATATAAGAGAAAGCAAATATAGGAAAGTGAGAAATTAATCAAAGCAACAATATGGCGTTCACTATAGTGTTCTCAACCCAAAAACAAACTATAAAATCCCAATACCTTTCCAGGCTCGAAAATTCTTTTGATTGATGGTAGATCCAGTAACAGTCTGAATTACATCAAAAAGCATCTCCTGAGAAGTGTTCTTCAGCTCTTGAACAGCAGCATAGATGGTTTTCCCATTCTCAAAGTATATGTGATTGTTCGGGTGTTTGGTCTTGGCACCCGCATGACGCTCAAACTCATACGCATTAAGAGCCTGGATGCCATAAGCTGAATGGTGACCACATTATTCGGATTATGTAGAGTAAACATTACAATGATCTTTAGAAGCTAACCTTGGACTCCTTGCATTCATTACAGGAGCACAAGTACCCAGTCCCTTTTATGACTCCTTTAAGATGTTTCTACCATGCAGAATATGAAACACATTTAGAGCAGAAATGCTTTACGGGGGGGCCATAATTTACAGAAACAGCAGCAGCAAAGAAATGAAGATAAGAACAATGAGACAGTTTACCTCCCGTGACCAAGAAACATACTTTACAGGAACACCATCGAAAATTCCTGTTGATAACAGACTTTTGACATTTGAAGGGAAGTTATTAGAAGGAACCTTCCTTGTCCTTGGTTCCTTACTCTTAGGGACATTATCACTTCTAGAATTAGATTTCGAATTGCTATTTACACCTGGTTCAAGGTTTGACTCAACCAGATCCTTCTGGCCATCCAAACCATGAGTTGAGTTCTGGTTGCTCATCAACAAATCATAGCCACTAATAATCCCACCTGAGTGATTTGGCTCTGGGTCATCATTAAAGCCTCCAAAAGATATCGTACAGCCATCATTCTTATTGTAATTGTGACCCACTGGTAAAGAGTTAGAATCTCCTTTATCATATGAAGGGTTTGTTGATACCATGTTTGAATCCACCTTGTCATATGTAGGACCCACTGACATGATATGACCAGTTCCCTTGTCACAGGAAGGAGATATTGAAATGAAATTTTCTCCTGATTTACCGTAGGTTGGGCCCATTGACATAAAGCTTTCATGCCCCTTGTTAAATGAGTTGCCCAGTGATATCAAATTGCCATCTTCCTTTTCATATGACTGACCTATTGATATGAAATTTCCATCTCCCCTGTCAAATCGCTGACCCATTGATAAGATGCTTTCATCTCCCTTGTCATAAGTGTGGCCCATCAGCAGAAAACTTCCATCTCCTTTATTGAATGCGTGACCCATTGAACCAAGATTATCATGAGCCTTAGTTATTGCACTACCCGCAGAGACAATATTCTCATTTACATTGTTGTATGCCTGACCTAACGATATGTTCCCATCATTCTTACTGTAACCAGCAACCATCGAAATTGCACTATTATCCACCCTACTATAGGAGTGCCCCATAGATGCAGACATGCAATTGTTGGTATCTCTAACTTGATTAACTTTAACTATTCTGATGCCACCAAAATTGAGACAAGATGAAGGGTCCTCAATAGTATGAGATATTGATAGCCCCACTGATGGATCATTTCCATAATTGTTCTCAAAATCCTTCCTTCCCATATTCAGATTTCCACTTCCAATTGATGGCATGTTCTTATCAACCAAATTGAAAGTTCTTAAAGTCTCAGATCCAAAGATACGGTCAGAATATTGACCTGTAACTGAGTGAAACCCAGAATTGGTGTCCCAAGGAGATACATCCAAATGCGGAACCCCTGAAATTGGCCTGCCACCAACAGCTTCAATAGCTTGCTTCTTATTGTTGCTGATAATTTCTGGTTCACCTGTTTCTGCAAACCATTGATGACCACGCTTTGGTTCAATTCGAGAAGAATTCTCATATCCCATATTGTCATCAGCTAAGCATCCTGCGTCCCGTGGCATCCAAAAGCTTTTATGCTGGAAAGACTGTAAAACCATATAAAAGAACATTTATCTCTTTGACAAAACATGTAATATTAAAGAAATGATCAAATGTAGTAAAGAGTCAGGGGAAAAAAACATAACAGGTTTCTAGGGAAATTTCATTGATAGCACAACAGGTTTTTTTTCGATGTCTTAGGTCCCCACACTTTTGCTTGTCATTGTTTTAGGCCCCTCCATAAATAAAGTGTAGGGACATATGGACGGACTTAAAACAATGAAAAACAAAAATGTGGGGACTTAAAATACTAAAAAAAGTGCAAGGATTAAAACTAAAACGCGAGCAAAGTGTAGGGACTTAAAGCCATGGTTTTCCTTTTTTAAAGGATAGAATGATCATTCCTTATCTATAAAATCACTTTTTTCATTCACTTTTTATTTCTATTTCTTTACATTCTATGCACCAAATGAGGTTTGTAACAGATATACCTCAGCTCTAGAGTCTGTTTCAGCAAGCCTTTGCTTGATGTCTCTTGCTATTGAAAAGAAAACCTCTTCCACGTTCATGTTTGTCTTTGCACTCTACAATCATGTTTTAACACAAATATATCAGATTCACATGTATTTTGAGATCTTGGTCAACAACTTGAGTTTGCTACTCACAGTTTCAAAGAACTTGATACCATACTCATCAGCAAGAGCTTGACCTTTAAAGGTAGGCACAACCTATAAAAATAAAAGGAATATTGCTCGTCAACATTAATAGAAAAACGCTTCTCAAGCATAGATGCAAGCTCAATCAGACAAAAAAGAATACACCATCAGATCATTTCTCTATTTGCTACCATGCTCAGCGAAGGATCCCTGCTTCTAAGTCACAAGGAACCTTCCTCCCTAGAAAAAGAATAGAAGGCTAAGCATGGAGACATTTTTGAGAAAGTCATGCACCAGCTAGTCACCAAATTAATTACATAGAGCCAGAAGAAGGTTTGGAAAGTGAATAGAAAAAGGAATACCATATATACACGCATACCCTTTTACTTTCATCCATATCAGCCTTGTTGCCCACAAGTATCTTGTTTACATTGTCAGATGCATGTTGTTCAATGTTGCGAATCCAATTCCTAACATCTGAAGAAAAACAAAAGCTACATAAGAATTAAAAGGGAGCAGGTTGAGAGAAATAAAATCCAATTTGATGGGCCAAACATGGCAAATTGACCATGGTACTATACCCCAAAAAAAAAATCACAAAATGCTACAAGTTCAAAAATATTTCCCATTATACTACAAATGAGAACTTGGCTGCTACCAAACCAAGTTTTAAAATTTCTTTTTCTTGACAACTTGTACTTAAATCGTTTTGTGTTACACTGATTTCAATACAACCATTTAAAATAAAATAAAAACTGTTCAAGAGATTTGTTATTGTCTTTTTTTTTTTTAACATAAAGCACCTAATATTCTGAGCTTGCCTCACATCGAGTTAGAAATGGTAATTCAAGCCAAATCTGATGGGCTATTCTAAATACCCGAAAAATCTTAAGGTTGGGTTTGGAAGTTTAGAAGATTTTCTTTATTTCGAGCTTATTTGAGTCACCTGAATAAACTTGAAAAATCTAGGCCAACCTAAACTCAAATGGGTTTAGCACAAATACTTAAATTCTTTTTTATTATTAAAAATATGAAATTAACATTCACCTTAACTTTCACTTAACCTTCATAAATCATCTTCAAGAGTTCCAATTCACACATTTTGCACTCCCAAATGAAAGTAACATTTACCATTTTCAAAAGATGTTCAAAACAAATGATCATTAAAATATTAAAACTTCAATTTAGGAGTTCAAAATGTGCAAATTGGAAGTCTGGAAGAGGGTTTATGAAGGCTAAATGAAAGTTGAGGAAAAGAATTCAACTACTTTAGCAAAGCTCATTCAGGTTTGTACTTATTTAGGTGACTCAAATAAACCTGAAGTAGAAAAAAAAAATTTCTAAACTCTTAAACCTAATCCTAAGATTTTTCAAGGTTATTCAAGTTGACCTGAATCACCACTTCTAGCTTGATGTGAGGCAAGCTCAAAATACCAAGTGTTTTATGGAAAGAAAAAAAAAAAAAACAAGACAACAAAACTCTTGAACAGCCTTTTATTTTATTTTACATGGCTGTATTGAAATCAGTCTAACACAAATTGATTTCAGTACAAAATGTTAGCAAAAACAAATTTTGAAATGTGGTTTGGTAGAAGCCAAGTTATCATTTGTAATATACTAGGAAATATTTTTGAACTTGTAGCATCTTGGGAAATAATTTTTTTTTATTTTTTTATTTTTTGTATGGTAATATAGTCAATTTCCCGCCAAACATGGCTGAATAGAAAGCTACAAGAAATATTCGAAAAAATAAGAATGCATAAATACATCAAATAGGAAGGAAAAAATTATCATTAAAACATAAATTTCGAATGTTGAAAGCAAGGGATGACTGTTGTACTATTAAAAGATGCTTCATCAGTAACATCATAGACCAGCAAGATGCCCATGGCTCCACGGTTATAAGCTGCAGAAGTGTATAAAATAGTAAGAGACCTCCATCACATCAAACAGAATATTGGTAAACCATATTACAACCATACCTCATATTACTGTCGAAATTGATCACATTCATTAGACAATTTTAAATGGTTTGTTAAACTAAAGAGTTTCATCTACGTATAAAGCGGTCAATAAGCCCTTTCAACCCTTGATTTTTTATTTTTATTTTTTTTTTGCAGTGATGCTATAGCATAAAATTCACATCAAAGAGGGGGAATGAGACCCAAAACAGTCCTTCACAATCAGCCTTCTGGGAGCTCTAGAATTACACATAAATATTATCTTGCCCTCTTGATCCCCAAGGGGGCAAGGGTGTCAGCTGGCAATTTTGCCCCTCTTCCAATTTGTTCTATGGCAACATTCTGTTCCTGTTTGACCAGAGTTTTGACTTTTGATGGCTAGGACAATAGAGCTAGCTCAATCACTTGATTTAAAGCATTTTTTCTTCACACTTCTTGACTTGTTCTACAAGTTTATTCTATCACAAATTCTCAAATGTCAAAACTGATAAGTCATTATATAAGAAGTACTTTTCCAGACTAACAATGATTTAAGAGTTATTGGCTAAAAAATAATAATAACTAAAGAGTTAATTTCCCTTACATAAGCAAATTCAATTAATATGTTTAAATAAATCAATAAATTCCACAAGTTATAGTTCATCAATCTCCATGGAAGACATTTATTAATCCCATGAAAATCTCCTAACCCTGCAAACTTCTCTCCTGTAATGCTACATTACTTCAAATCATTTTAGTTATATATATATATATATCAAACCTGACAACCATGACCGTATAGCATATTGTAGAACCAAAACTGGAACATGTGCAATGATAAGAATCTATTAATGTTTCCCTCTACCAGAATGTGACATCAAAGCGATAACACCCTAATGCATTACGCAACATGATGTTTGTTAGGTAGCTACCTATCATGTAAAAATGTTAATTATTATTTGGGAATTAAGGCTTGTGACCCATGTTGTAAAAAAGAAAAAACATACCTGTGGTGATAGTTCGAAATCTCTCCTGACCAGCTGTGTCCCAGATTTGCAGCTTAACGCGTTTCCCATCAAGTTCGATGGTTCTTATTTTAAAATCAATCCTGTTAAATAAAGTATCGCATTAAGAACTTAAAATTTGAATAGGGACAATTACTTGCACAAAGCACAAGTATCAATGCGGACACATACGCATATAAACAATTTGGTGACACCCAAAAATGAACCAATGCTTAAATTAAACATCAGCTTTTCTAAGAAACTATACACCATACAAACTCTGCATTAAGTCCAACCCTGCAATGTTTTCCAGGACACTAAAAGAGAAATCAGAAAAGTAGTTCGGAAAAGCCTTAATAACTACTTTGTAGTGAATGGACACACTGATATGAACATTGGAATATCGTGAGCACAAGATCAAAAGTATCTAAGTTTTTAAAGTGATTATATATAAGTTTCTACAAATACTCACCCAATTGTTGTGATAAAACTGGTGGTGGAGGAACCATCAGAAAACCGCAAAAGCAGACAACTCTTCCCCACACCTGCAAAAGTTCAAGTCAGAAGGCTGAATAATCAGAACAAAAACTCAAGAACCTAAAACAGACCGCTGTAAATAGTATGCAAAAATACCCAATTGCTCAAGATCTCACACAAGACACTAAAAAGAAATGATAACATCATTTGGAGAAGATACATTGAGAAGAGTAGAAAAAGCATGCTGATATCAGCAAAGAAAGAAGGATCTTACGATTAAAAATTATCAACAAACTAAAGAGGCCCTCATATGAATAAGGCCAAAATAGAGAATACAAGTCAATAAAAAGATGCAATCACTTTTCAACTATCATTCTATCAAAAGTGCTATTTGACAAAGAAGGTCTCTTGCTGGCTGTGAATAACCACTGGTATCCCATGTAAATAACCATATCCTGTCCAGACTAGAAAGAACAGAAATATCATGATCCACAAGATAGACACCATAAAAGAAATAACAACAACAACAACAAGGCTCATCACACTAGGTGGGACCATAAAAGAAATATATGCTACAAAATCTGCAATTCAACTATCCCCATTAAATACTAGCCCTGACTCCCAGCTGAAACCAGGGGCCAAATAGTAACTAAAAAAGCTGGACTTCCCCTCTAACCATTAAACTGAAAAACAAAATTCAAAACATTAATGCTGGACCAATTCAATCATCGCCACAGTATCAGAGTAAATGGATCTTTAAATGTCAAAGTTGTACCTTTAAGGCATTTTATTTCACATTTTATGTCAAGATGCCCAGGATCAACAGAAAGGCACTGCCCAGCTGGTTAACTAAGTTACATCATCTGCTAACAATTACTTTCATGGTTTCTCAAAAAACTTATATTCAGCCATCATTTATTCCAAATACTCACCAAGGATTTGACAGAAGTTGTAGTCAGAGAAGAGAAAGAACATATGAAGCAGTAAATTGATGACATGGCAAGTTGTAAGGGAGCAGAGAAACATAACTTTCATCTGGCTTTAAATTAACCTAATAGCTCAAACACCAATCCAATTAATAAGCTCATAACTTCAAAATTGCATGAAAGATCACACATCCACATCAAAATCAAGAAATACTCCCCCCGGTCCTGAATATAAGAAAGTTTGGGGAGACTTTTTTCTGTTCAAATTATAAAAAATTAAAAAAAAACAGAGAGTTTATATTTGGTGCATTAATTACATTATTCCAGCTATACCCCTCACTAAATTGGGAAGTAAGGCAGAAGTTCAAACATTAAATTGAGGACATTTGTGGAAAACAATTTCAAATTGTGACATATTTAAGAAAGATAACCAGTTATGTTAATCTTAATGAGATAGTTATTTATTCCTTATATTCAAGACCAGAGGTAATATGATATACTACTTTTGGTTACAAACAAGTATAGACTGCTGAACAAATGATTCCCTATCTTTGTCGAAGAATAAACTTGCACAAAAAACTCATAAGATTAAACATGAATTAAAGATACAATGACATTCTTATCCAAAAGAAAGAATACTATGCAGAGAAAATACAGCATTTACTAAGTTACCATTATAGTACTCTATATAGAGTATAGACGATCAAGAAAACTAACAATATGTACCAAGAGCCCTATGTCCGATAAAAATGATATGCTTTTTAAAAGTAAATTAAAACAAACACTCCAAAAGTGCAATTCAGCAAACTCATGGAGAGATAATGCCTTGACGAACGCCCACAGTTATCCCTTCAAAAGTCAATAATCTAAACGCTAAGCGACCCGCCCTTATCTAGACGACTGGAAAGATGAATTCATTATTTTAACAACCCAAAGAGGCAAAGCAAGATAAATTCATCATTTGAAACCACATAGACTTCCTAAAATAACCGATCAGTATCACCTTCCATTTTTCTACACAAACCAATTATGGTAAACCCGAACTAAAAACAAAATGACAATAAAACAGTATTAATATCTAGAAACTTAACCACCCATTTGCTTTCCTTAAAATTCCAAGTAAAATTGGGGGGGTTGGAGATATGGAAGGAATAACAAACCACGGTCGCCAACAAGAAGAAGCTTAATGAGGTAATCGTAATCGGCACGAGCCCGTGCTGGTAGCGCTGCCATCGATTATTATTTGTGAACACAAATTGAATATTCTAGCGCAAGAGTCTCTATCAATCCCTTTCCGAACAGAGACGTAACAGCGTCAAAATTGAATTGGCAAAAGAGATCACAACCGGAAAAGGAAGGAGAAGCAGAGAGAAATGATACCTTCGGCAAAAGGTTAACAAGTCGTCGGCGGCGACATGGGAAGAGATCAGAGAGAGTTTTCGGGTATAAGCAAGACCTCAGTGCTTGGTTCCCCGGGGGGGGGGGGGGTGAGGGGAGTGGAGGGAGAGGAGGGTTTTAGTGCGTGTGTTGGGTTTTGAGTATGTGAAAACTCACGTTGATGAAAGTTTATTAGATAAAATTGTTCTAATAAAATTTACGTTTGAGTATATTTTTTTAAAAAAAATTAATTTAATAAATTAAAAGTTATTTAAATTAATAAAAATTTATATTTTTAAAATATATTTATAAATATGTAATGATTAAAAAAGATATTAATTTATAATAATTTATAATTTTTATTATATAAATATAATATATTAAAAATGTTTAAAAAATGTGAAACAAATTTAAAATGTTAAATAATAAGAATAAAAAAATTTAATATCAAAAACATTATGTAATAATCAGTTAAATATTTATTAATATTGAATAGTTATATAATTAATGAATCGCTCTATAATATACAATCTGATCTCTAATAGAATCTCGAACCTTATTCATCTTTCTATTAGAAGCCATGCTTGAAATTACACTTGAAATTGATGATGAAAATGCATGCTTGTCATTATCATCATTAGTATTTACCATATTTTCATCCTCAAAATGTATAAAGTTAAAAATCAATTGCATATTTTTTTTCTAAAGAAATTATGTATAACCGTTGTTGCACCAACCATATGAACTTACATCACAAATGGATAACTAAGCATGTGTCGTAAGATTGCGAATATGTTTTTCCAAGCCCCAAAAGTTCTTTTAATCGTGGTCTTTAAACTTGAATCATAATAATTGAAAACATTATTATTGTTTGCAAATCTGGATGAACGCCTGACATCTAGGAGGTGATACCTATGAGATCTATAAGGACCTAAATATCTATGTGGCATTGCATAGCCGGCATCTAACAAATAATATTTATCTACCAATAAAAAAAATAGAAATTGTAGGATCCCAAAAATTTTTTGAAAAATTATTGTAAATTAGATGAATGTGAAATATACCTTGTGGTGAATGTAAAAATTTCATGTCCAGTCTTATAAGTGCATAGTCAAACAAATGAGTATCTTGGGCAGTCTCTTCCCATCCAGCCATGACATAAGTGAAGCACATATCACAATCACATGTGGCCATTATATTTTGTGTTGAAATACCTTTCCTTCCAATATATTTCCCTTGTTCTTCAACACTGACCACATGCGGGATATATGTTCCATCAATTGCTCTTATGGCAACTTTGAAGAATGGCCAATATCACGAATCACCTAAAATTTTTAGATGTATATCTTGAAAAGTGCAATCTTTTAATTAGATATGTTCCTTTGCTAACTTCTCATAAGCATCCAATAAATTTCTAAAATATTTATGAATAGTTTCTATTGAATGTTGAAATCATTCTTGTGCCATCCTATTCCCCACCCCACGTCCAACAATATTTAGGAACATATCAACGATTTCATGAATCCATGTTCTTCTAGTTGAACGTAGACCATGTTACACCAGCTCATCACAAAGTTGAAGAAAAACATCTTTTTTCATGCAAAACATGTTATAACAATGCTGAGGATGCCCTTGTAAAATTTCTGGCACCCATGCATGACCTGATTGCAAACTAGTTCTACAAGGCTCTTTCAATAAATATGTTGAGTAATTGAATACTATTGTAATAATAGCATTAACCTCATCATCTTTCGCATGTACAAATAATTGTAATAAGTGAGATTGTGTACTTTCATCTATAAAAACTGCATAACATAATTTAACAACCATTACACCATTGTCTATAACTTAACATAAAAAACATATGCAACAAGAGTTAGATAACACAATCAAATTAAAAACAAAGTTAACAACATAAATGACACTAGCTAGATTTAAAACATTGAGAAGGCAAGCTAGAATTGATCTAATATGTTTTCTTGTCTAAGCACTTTAAATAGGCCACTAATGCTCTTCTATTGTCCCTAAGCCCAATATACATATCCCTTGCAATCTTATCTAGCAAGGCCATAACATATTGTTCAAGAAGCGTCTCATCACAAACAATCTCCTCGATTCCATAAAGTTCCTTTACAACATCCACCACATTTTAATCAACCAGTTTTGTTCCGCTCTCCATTGAATTAAGAATTGACTTTAATGTTGTAACCTTATCCTTTTGTGTGGAAACCAAATGACTCACTGAATTAACCATCATAGATGCAAGACATTTTCCCTTCTTGTTTTGACCATTTTCACCTCTCTTTCACTTGCTCCTTGAATTAGTACCACCATTGTATGCATTATTCAAGTTAACCTATCCAATTTTTAGGAAAGTTCCTCCACTAATGTTTCTTACATCATCACTGTCTCTTGATTCTTCAATCAAATCCAATTCAAGTCTATATACATCATGGGGATCATCAGTTGCATTGTCCACATGTTAATGCCCCATGCTATCACTAGATGGAATAACTATGTCAATTCTTGTATATATGAAAGTGGTCTATGTCTAAATTTTTTGTACTCAGGATTCTCCTGCACATTTACAAGAACTAAGACTACTATATTTACAAAATAAAACATCAAATATATAACATGACACATATAATTGTATACCTTAATCTTTTGATTTCACCACTCCTCTAGTGCTAATACAATATTCTTTTCACTATCCCATCCCAGACCAGTATCTTTGTTCAACAGTTTGTCCCATATATTCCAGTCTTTCCTCAAATTGTTTCATTTGTTTTTCAATTTCTTCTTATCATAACTTCTAGAGCTTAATGCATTGAATTATTGCATTAGTGCCTCCCAACCCTCATTTGATAAGGTAGAGCCTTTACGTTCATTTTTTCTAACTTGTTAGAGAGTTAATTTGATGAACAGTTCGATCTTTTCGGTAGTCCACAATGCATTCTCTTTACTCATATTTACTATCAAAATATTGTATTCTCAATAATTAATTAACATACATCAGACCACTTTCACTAATTTACTTTGTTAATAAACTAAACTCATACTTTACTTGTCAAGCATAAAATCCCAATTCAATTTGGCTCATCATACACTTGAGGTACATTTTATATAACATTGAGTGGATATCTGACAAAAATTACCAAAAAAGAAAAAGCTAACTATCAATATAAAATATACAAAAAAGTTTGCTACTTGCAAGTCATATACGTTGCAACTCACTCCAAACTTCATGAATTGCATAAGATCTATTTTAGTTAATAGTTATTAAATAAATACTAACTATAAACCCTGTGTATTATAAAAAATTTTAAAAAAATAAATTACATTGTATGATGACATAGCCTATTATGTAAGACTGATGAGCAAACTTACTTAAGATTAACAACCAAACTTCCCAATTGAAAAAAAAAAGAGTAGAATCAAACTCTTACAAAGTATATTCTAATGAATCATACATACAATAATAACTAACATGTACTGGTTCATTACATATTCAAGATTCCTACCATTTTTGCTTATGAACTTCACAAGACTGAGGAGCAAGATAGCCACAACATTACATGGCATATGATTTCTATCGAGGAAAATCTAGAATGGTAGTATCGTGACAATAAACAACACTTGAAAGTAGGAAGTTTGGTTCTGATACATATATATCAGAATCAAGGTTATTAGAATATATACCAAAAATTCAAAACTAAACGAGCAAACAGCTTGAAGGAAAAAAACTAGAGCAGAACGAAGCTTCCCAATAAAGAACACTTGAAAGAAAGATGAAGTAGGGAATATATATATATATATATATATTATCAGCATTTTACTAAAAAAATTCAACAGATCAAATCGAACATACATATCAAATCTAAGTAAAAATTAAAGGACCACCAGATTAGATCAAACATACCAATCCTTCTTTTTTATATACTCATGCAAAACAGAGGACTACCATTTTTGAATCTGATAAAAAATGGTTAGAGGTCATCATACTTTGCAGATGGAAGAGCAAATAGGAGGGGGAGGTCAAAGTTCAATGAGCTAGTCTGAAAGTTTAGTTTTGCACTTGACAGGTTGCAAACCTAGCTATTCTGACTTCTCTTAGCTTCATAATGTCGTCCAAGACCAACAGCAAGCTTAATCCATGAAAGATTCAAGGTAGAAATGAAGAAATGGGGCACTAGAGTGGTAGGAAAGGACGACGAAAGAAGAGACTTGAGCTCAAGGAAGGAAGAAATGAAAGGACTCAGATCTGTGACCAGAGGGTGGAGGAGAGACGGAGGAGAGAAGGAAGAGAGATGGAGGAGTGACAGAGGAGCAAGATGAGGAGCAATAGAGAAAATGACAAGATGAGAGAGCCCAGAGCCTCGATTGCATGAGAAGAAGGAAAAAATAACGAGGGTAGCATGGTCAATTACAATATTAGGTACCAGTAATTAATGCTCACATGCCTACATTTACATTAGGAAAGCTACAAAATGGAGCTTTTTATTTTTTCCATTTCAACCTACTTTGAAAGTCCTTTTTGAAAGCCAGTTGCATTTGATAAATTAATCCCAAAAAACATTTTACATCCTAAAAGCATAAAAGCACTTTTGGGATGTGAAATGGAGAGTTTCCAAATGCATCCTTAATATTACCTTGTTTGGTTTTGTTGAATGACAGGGGAGCAAAGGAGTTTTTAATGATCCTTTATTTAGTTTAGGAGAAGAGGGGAGGGAAAGTAATAACTAATTTATTATTATATCCCTATACATTACTTTAAAAATTTTTTAATTATTCCTTGTGGAAAATAATTTTACACCATTATTTAAAATGCATGATTTTTTTTTAAAATTCACTCTTATCCTATCACATTGTCAATATGTGAATAAAAAAAATTTAACCAATAATTATAATGATGATAATATTTTTTTATAAAAAATAAATAACCCCCTTAAATATATAATAAAATATGATAAAATGTAATTTTTTAAAAAAATTCAATGAGGTCAGTCAAGGTCTGGAAGTGAAGTACAATCTAATATGAAGGAGAGTTTTTTTTAACTATAGGTATAATTGGAATATTAAAAAATAAATAAGAACAAAATAGTAAAAAAAATTAGCTCCCCTAAAAAAAAAT